AGCCAATTTGTGTTTTCTTCAAAATAAACAAAGCTTGCACACAGGATATTTGCAGCCTCTTACTGAGCACAGGTCACCTTTCCTTCTGTGGCTTTCTGGAAAAAAAACAAGGCAGCCAGCCATTCCTGGTGGCTTCCAGACTGCCGCTCAACTATCTGCTGTGAAAGCAGTGGCGTTGCTCTGTGCCTGTCCACTGGGAGGGGTGGGCTTTCGGAGAGGTGGCCCTGCTCTTCTGAATGAGGTGGGTGAATTCCCAAGAGTGGCCCCTCTAACAAGCCCTTTGCTCTGCCACAACTGAACCCTTGTCGGTCAGTTATCTAGTTTCAGCTGCTTTGCTTAGGAAAGATCTGCAGTGCTGAGAAGGGATACACAATTCAAACTGCACTGCTGTACCAAAAACCGGGGCCAGCCTCCTAAGAAGACAAGAACATCCTCAGGAGTCATAATGCTTGCAACGGAATCTCTAGACTGGGTGGTGGTGGCGCACACATTTAATCCCACCACTCAGGAGGCAGAGGCAGACAGTTCTTTGTGAGTTCAAGGCCAGCTGATCTACAGAGGGTGTTCCAGAACAGAGAAACCCTGTTTCTCAAAAAAAAAAAAAAAAGGGAAGAAACTGAGTCTCCAAATTGAAGTTACTTAAAGACAGTGCCAAGAGACTAAATTAAAAATTCAAGAATATCCCATTGCAGAAATTCCTTTACTTTGACATAGCTGCTAATAAATATCTGTGCAAGTGTCTCTGTATCTCAGTTTCTCCTGTGTAAGATGGGATAACAATAGTACCCATTTCTAGGGTTGTGGTGAGGATTATATGAATTAATAAGTCCTGAGTCTCAAAAGTAGTTCCTGGTATATAAAAAGTGCTGTTGGAGGTTTCCCGGTGACTCAGTACACTGCCACTCCACCCCACACCCACTCCTAGTCCAACAAAGGGACATTGTGCTGGTGTACTGGAAAGGGCACCGACCAGCTCCCAACTCTATCCAACAGAAATAGAGTGTGTGCGTGTGTGCACACACACATACACCACACACACTAGTACATGCCAGAAGAGGGGAATAGAGTCCCTGGAACTGGAGTTACAGGGGGATGTGAGTTAACAGATGTGGGTGCTGAGAACCAATCACTGGTCCTCTGCAAGAGCAGCAAGTGCTCTTAACCTCTGGGCCATCTCTCCAGCCCTAGTAAAAACATTTTAATATTTGAAAATTTAACCCAATATATCCAAAATCTTAAACGTTTTAACAAGATAAAATTACTAGGGCATTTTACTGTTCTTCACTGTATTCCAAATGTGTCTGTATGTTTTACACTTGCAGTGCTTCACAGTGCAAATGCTGTTTTCACCAGAGATATTTCTGTTAGAATCAAAGGAAAGGGATCTTTATCAAGGTGGATTCACTCACGCCTGATTTAACACACACACCTGTGGCTTTTCCAGCGCTCCCCTGGAGCTTTCCAATAACTAAACTGGGAATCGTTTTTCAGTTAAAATTTAAGTGAAATTATAGCCAGGTGTGCTGGTGCATGCCTGTAATCCCAGCACTCAGGAGGCAGAGGCAGGCAGGCCTGAGTGTGAGGCTAACCTAGTCTACAGAGGGAGTTTCTATACAGAGAAGCCCCCCCCCTCTCTCTCTCTCTCACACACACACACACACACACACACACACACCAAGTAAATGAATAAATAATTAAATAAAATTATAAACTCAGTTCTTTAGTCATGTTTCAAGTGCTCAAGAGTCACATGTAGTTCATAGGTTACCACAGTGGTAGATCCTGAAAATGGACAGACCTAACATTGAGTCTTGGTGAAGTTATTTGACCAAGTTCCTAATTTACAAGAGGAAAAAAAATATTAGTTTTTGTCTTTCAAACTAGAGGCAATATACCTGACACTGATCAATAAATTATAAAGGTGTTCAATAAATAGGAAGTAATTTTTACTTAATATTTTATTAAGGAAAGTCATCAAAATATTGATAAATCTAAAGACATATGAAGTGACTCCACATACCCACTACCTAGATACTCTAATAGTTAACACTGACCTTATTTTCACTCTTTCAGATCTATGTTTCCGTTCATTAGCCCACCTAGCCTTTTTTACGAATTTCAAAGTTAAGGACATTAGTATACCTCGACCCTCAAAACTCCATCAGGAATGTGTAATTAAGTTCAATATTTGGCATTCTTTCCGTGTGTCTCACTGTCTCTGCCTCTCTCTTTCTTTCCTGCCCCTCCCTTTTTCTTCTTTTTTCCTTTCTTGCCTCTTTCCTTGTTCCCTCCCTCTCCATTCTTGCTTGTTTGCTCAGGGGTAAAATGCACACATAGAAACATTCACATATATGAAGTAACCACTGAATGAGTGCTGACAGTGCATATGCCTGTCTGAGCCAGATCTCAGTCAAGATCTCCATTATCCCGACAGCAATTCCACCTCTCTCTCTTTAATCCCAGCTCTGCCCAGACCATCACTGTTCTGGTTATCCTGCATAGATTAGTGCAGCCTAATTAGAATTGTAAGTGAATGGAACCAGATAGTATTTGGCCTTCTGTAGAGAGTTTTTTGTTTTTGTTTTTTGGTGTTTTGTTTGTTTGTTTGTTTCTTTGTTTGTTTTTGAGATACACTTGTGTCACTGTATATTTGTTCTTTCTTTTTTCTTTTTTTAATTACTGAGTAGAAACTATGTTTATTCATAATTTAGGGAACACGTGACTAGCTGTTCAAGGACTCTACTCCATTCTTTCACAGCTCAAAGCCTCCATCTTACAGTCAATATAATTTCAGCTTAGGTAACTATTCAGCTCCTTACTATTAATGAAATGAAGGTATTTTCATATAATAACATTTAAATTTTACCTATATTAAATTCTTCTGAATCTTCTATAGAGAAGGTAAAAAAACTTGACAGTTCCTTTACTCCTTTTTTATCCAATACTTCAAATTCTTTGAGTTCCTGGTGTTCTCCATTTGTATCTAATTTATACTGACGTTTCTTCTTGGTCATTGAATTTTTGTTTCATATATTGCTTCATATTGCTATATTGCTTCATAAGCTCTGCTAGACAGCGTTGTGTCTGTTTTATGTATACCCAAACCTATTGCCCAGCAATTAGAAGACTACTATCAAATCTTTGTTGACAAATGTATATCCAAAGGGAAGAGCTCCTCAAGCACATTAAATGTTATCTCTATGTGTCTGGGGTGGTGGCTGATGTGGAAGGTGGGTAGACGCCAGAGTTAGACTCCAATGTAGTTTTCCCGAGATTCATCTGGATGCAATGGCTTCCTCTCTGGCCAATAGTGCAGTCCTAAGTTGCCATCTCCAACTTTTTCCCAGTGAGCCAAGTGGAGCCAAACCTGGGATTTCCTTTTACATTTAAAATTGCTCAGAATTAGCTGGTCCATGGTCTTAGCCCCCAAACTGCTTTGGTTTCCAGAATTAAGCAGATATTTCTCTGGGCATACAAATCCAACTGTGTCACATAATGTTCTTGTCTTTATTTTTTTTCTTAATTCTTGTTTCTTTGTTCCCTTTCTTCTCAGCAGATAGTCAAATATCTGTGTTTAGCTCCCTGCTCTGGAGACTTTTGTGACCTATAACAGCAGAAGTTGCCTTCAAAGGAGTGGCCTGAGGGACGCGTTTTGCAAAAGCACAGGATTCCTGAGGGAATTTCTGAAGGATGAAGCCCCGGGGGGGGGGGGGGTGAAATGGGAGGGGACATTGCAGGAAACTCCAAAACGCAGAAACTGTCCCAGAACTGGGTAGGGGTTGGGTGTAGCCAGCTTGCTGCAACCCTCAGGAACTCTCCCACTTGGAAGGGGGCAGCACCTCAGAGGGATATGAATGCCACATCTGGGTGAGTGGACTTCAGTCCCAAGCTCCCAATAGCAGCACTGACTGAGAATCCCCAGCCTTACAAGCCACAGGACTGCTTGGCGCTGAAGTTTGAAACACAGGGATTCAGGACCAGCTCCTGATTTCAGTTTAAGCTTTCTGATTCTTATGTGGCCCCCCGAAAAAGAAGAGGACTCCATTCTCACAGTGACAATGAATGAAATCTCTTGCTCTGTGAGAGCAAGGTGAAGGCTCGGAGATGCATTTGATTTAATTTTTAAAAATAAAAAAATAGTACACTTTTAAGCACTTGATGTAAGGACAAAGAAGAAAGAAGGGAGAACAGGAAAAATAATCCATATAGCAGAGGAACAAGAAAGTAAGGGAAGGGAGCAAAGTGAAGAAAAGTAAAAATGTATGTTCACGTTAAAATAAATGATAACAAAATAAAAACGAGCTGAGAAGCCATAAGTAACAGCCATCTATCCCCTTCCTCACACAGCATGCGATTTCAAGATGATAAAATAAAAAAACTGTGCTTTGTGCTATAGTTTTGCTTGACTGATATTCATCTACCTCTCCAAAACGACTTGGCTTAATTATATTGTACATGTCTGCTTGTCTGCCTGATTGGCCAGTGACAACTGCGAGCTGTAAAATAATTCTTATTCATTTACAAATATAGCCCATAAAATTTAATTTTCTTGCCTTTGTTTCAGCAACACTAATTATGTTGCAATCAACACTTTCACATATTTTATACTCAATTGATAGCAATGCCAAAATAGGCATTTTTCTCTAAATATCACTGTTGTGGAGTTTTTTATATATATCTAATTTTTATTTTGAGAGAACTTAGTTTGTTGATGCAGTACCAACTAGTCCTGTCAATAAAATTCTCTTACATACCATGTTCAAACATTGTGTCGGGATTGCACATACTAGATGAAATTTACCACTGATGAAATGCATACTGTTTTTATCTCCATGTAAATTCAAAACAGACAGTTCCACCCATTTCACAAAAAATATCTAGATCTGTATACCAAAAGCTGCAGCTTCTCATATCAGATGTGGGAGAATTTAGATTATTCAATAATGGAGAATGTTCCTCAGATTCCATGCAGCCGTGTTCCAAATGGTAGGTGACTTGTAAATACCTATGCAGCCACAAACATAAATAAGAAAACAGAGGCTTAGCATAACTGGGAATAGTGGATCTCACAAGACTCTCGTGCATCCATACTATCAGAGCAAAATGATTTTTTTCGCTTACCTAAGCACTTCTGCCATTCAAATCTTCAAGCACTCCCAAGTGGGTACATCTCTGATGCAGCAGCCCGAGTGCAGTTCCTAAATCTTCAAGACATTTGAGTAAAAGGTGAGGACTGAGAAGTAGTTCTCAGGACTCAGCATGGTGTTCGTTACGGGGGCTGTGGATTAGGGTTACTGTCCCAGCATTGATCACTGCATCTCAAGTCACAGGATGCCACATAGTCTTCAGTCAGTCCCTCTTGGTGTCTGTGGTAAGTAGCGCTCCCTAAGGTATGAGGTTCGAGAGGTTAGAGAATCCAAACTCACTTGGTCTTTGCTTAGGCTGAGAGGAAGCAGGGAAAACAGAGAGAAGGAAGGAGATTGGGTGGAAGAGAATAGATAGATGAGAAAGAACTGAGGCTACTTTCCGCAGGCCAAAAAATGAGAACTTCTGATATTAACAATCTGTCGAAAGATCTCTAAGCACCAAAATGATCATGAAAAACTAGAGTTGACCTGCATGCAGACAACTTCCACGATATTAAATATATATATGTGTGTGTGTGTGTGTGTGTGTGTGTGTTTATAAGAAATCCTCATACATATATACATAGAGTTACACACACACACACACATACACACAGACACACACACACACACTGCTGCACACACGGACTCCCTTCTGCTTGCTTGTTTGTTTGTTCTGCAGCAAATCAGGTCATTTTCTTCTTTATAGTCCCTCCTGTTTTTACATTCCTATAACATCTCTACTAATGAGTCGGATAATGCAGGTATAGGATAGTGAGACAGCAAACATCACATTTACAGTTGATCATTTGCACAGGAGGAGGGCAAATAGATCATTAAAACCAAATATTAACCATCTGCTGTCTCCATCAACTATAACAAAGACATTTCTAACATATACAGACTCCATCAAGCAGATGAAAGTCTCCTTTGAATTAGTTTACAAACCTTATCGCCATTTTCACTCTTTTGCTTATTCATTTGCTGGCTACCACAACCTGGTGAAAGCTTCCTTAGTCCCATGGCCCTGTCTTGATCGAACTTGAAGGATGGAGAATCTGCGTGTGTTCAACCAAGTTGAGCTAAGATCCTGAAAGACTGTGTACAGCAATTTTATAATCCAACAGGACACTTTCTTTTTAAAGTAAGTTATTGAGGAAGAAACAAAAACCTGATGGAAGGCTAGAAATCATTGACTGTTACTAATTTCATCAGTTTCAAAACATCTCTCCGGTGATGGTCCTGAAACACTAACCCATCGAGAAGTTTCTGGTTTTTCTAAACACTAAGCATAGGATAAACTCTGGTATGTCACTCTGAGTTGAACTGGAAAGGAGAAAGCAGGAAACACACTCCATTGCAGTAGTCTGAGGAATAGCACACGCTCTTGACCTTCAAGGGTCCAGGGCAAAGGTGCATGACAACAAACCCTTGGAGGAATGCAGAAGGATGTTGTGCTCCTGCAGACTGAAGAGCTCACAGGAGGCTGACAAATGGCTAGTAATTTCACTGTAAAGCAGGCCTGTTGCCTTATATGGCCTCCAGAGAGCTGCCTGAGATGGCCAGCCACTGCTGTTCCCTCTACCATGAGCAGCATCTAAGCTACCTGCAAAGGCTTGTCAGACCCAGAGTCCCCCAAGACCATCAAGAGACCAAATCCTATGCAAAAGCAAAGAGTCTTTTTATTTCCAGTTAACTTGGGTCTCCATCTCTCTGACGCAGCAGCAGAGCACGAGAGACCCTGAGTAGCAATGGGTTTTTAAAGCAAGGGAGGCTTGGGGTCTACAGACTACATAGGAATAGACTCAGGATTGGTTTATACGAGTGGCAATCATGTTAGTAACTTTTAACTGGCTAGGGTTAGTTGGGGGTTACAATTATTCATTTGGGGGCAGGTCTAGACAAGTCCTAGGCGTTGTCCTTGAGCTGCCATGGAGGCTGGCTGGCCTAGCACATTCTGACTGTGGGGGCCGATTCAGTGGCCCAGGCTTTCACATTGACCCATGCACATAGCTCTAAGTTGGTGAGGGGTCCAGAGAGTAAACAATTGGCTGAACCTTGAGCAGTCAGAGTATTTGCAGAAAGGGAGCTACTGCAAGGACTATGTCTTTTGTTCATTGCTCTCCCAGAAACTGCTTGCTCAAGTCTCAGGAGACTGAAATTGAGGCCTGATCTCTGAAAGAAGACTGAGCAGCCTGTTATGGCACCTGACTGGTCCTTTCAGGCTCATTGGCCTTCCTCCACAATAAGGATCCTGCAGCAACTCAAAGGGCACCTTTCCTCATAGGAGGTGAAGATAAAGCCACTAACCTGAGCAGTGAAGCTGGGGAGACAGATAATACAAAGGGATTTGTGACAGTCTCTTTGCTTTCCTAAACCTTTGTTTTTCCCTGCTAACACTAATTACATAAAGTCAAATATGGCTTCATAGTCAGAGTGTGTTCTGAGAGCCATATAGTTAGGTGACAGCCCAGTGGACCTACACAAGCCAAGGTGGTACATTGTGTATGACAGTAATCGTGCCACCGTAGGGATTCAGTGAGAGGTTGATAGATGCAGTGACCTACTCAGCAAATGCTTTATTCATTTTATTCTCTCTCTCTCTCTTTTTTTTCACCTTGGTTTTTCAAGACAGGGTTTCTTTGTAACCTTGGCTGTCCTGGAACTCACTTTGTAGACCAGGCTGGCCTTGAACTCATAGAGATCCGCTGCCTCTGCCTCCCAAGTACTGAGATTAAAGGTGTGCACCACCACCACCACCACCACCACCACCACCACCACCACCACCACCCAGAGAGTTAATTAGTCTTCTATTGTTCATATTATTGGATTTTCTTTACCATTCATCTACTGATGGCTATTTAGGTCAATTTCCTGTCTTGACCTTTGTAAATAGTGCAAATATTTCTTTGACACTGACTTCATTTCGTCTGGGTACAGATGTAGTAGTGGGATGACCGATCTGCTCATCCAGCCATTTTACTTTTCCTATTGGGCAGAACCTGTGTACTGCTTTCCATAATGACTGCATTGTTTTCTCTTCTCAAGTTATCTTCCTACCGGAATGTGATCATCCCTTCACACTGTGTATCTATACTATTATCCTCTCGAACTTGCTGCCGGCCTGTCGTCTTGGAAAATGACAACCACTGCTGCAAACTAGCTACGGGCCGCTCTCGGGGCGATGTGACATTATGGAACCTCCCCCTCCCCCACAGAACCCAGAGACACTTGTGTGAGGCAGCCATGAGGATTTCTAGAAGCCTCTGGAAACATCCTAACTCGTCCTCAGAGAACATTGGAGAGTGGCTATTCACTGGGCCTTTTTTCCTTCTGTCACTACTGCCTGGCTCCCAGCAGCCAATCTGTCCCATCAAATACACACTAGCTGCCCTCACACACATGCAAAACAATCAAACAGACGCTCCCCCTCTGTGGCATGAACCAAGTTCCTTCTATTTATAAGCAGCAGCCCAACAGACCCACTCCGTTCTGTAACTTGCAGCTCTCTGCAAGCTGTACCAGAATAGAGATGTGTTCGTACTTTCCAGTCACCCAGATTGCCACTTCAGAAAGAGAGTGATAGACAAATAAGCTGCAATCCGTTTAGAACATTTCCCCATGTTTAACTTCCAAATTTGAGAGTCTTAAGCACGGTTGCCAGAAGCAAGTTTTTCTAAATGCAGTATTTTTTTTTTTCTTGGTCTCTTAGTAAATGGTAACTGAATATTTTCCCCCCTACTGTTTCTTTTCAGAGGCCAAGAGTTTTTTCACTCCTAGTCTGCAATACCCTGCCTGGGCTGTCGCCCAAGTGGCTTTCACACCTAAAGTGAGAAAGAATTAAGTGCTTCTGCAATTCAGAAATGGTTCTGTCTGCCTGGGAGCTGCAAAGCTCTCTTGACTGAACTATTCCTTTTAGACTCTGAAGCTAAGTGTACGAAGGAGCCTACAACGGTGCCAAGGAAGAGAAAGAAGCCCGCTCCATTGGAGCTCTTCCGGGGAAGTGCTCACAGCTGCCCACTGCTTTTCACCAAGTACGTCTTGTGCAACCTCTCCGCTTGTCATCTTTCTATTTTCCACAAAATGGATGGCGAAGTTGTTTGCTGACCCCATTTTCTTATTAATTATGTCACTCTGTCCCTAATTCAGTGTTGTGCTTGTCTTAATGGGAGGGGAAATGGGTCCACGCTTGCCTTCAATTATTCTCATCGGGAGGTGTTGATTTACATCTCAGAAGTGTATATTATACTATAATCTGTGAAAAGAGATCTCAGACAAAGCAAGCTTGCCGAAGGTCAGAAATGGTTGAAAAAGTATCTTCAAACAGCTAAGTATCTTGCTATTTTTATAAAGAAGCTCTGCTATGTGGCAAGGCCGTCTTACACATTACAGCCCTTGTTTAAGGCCAGCCCTTCTGCTGTGAGTGACAGGCTCTGTTGCTGCTCGCAGGACTCTGCAGGCTAGTAAGATGCCATAAATCACAGTTTCTGTTATCATGTTTTCCCTTTTTAAATGAACTGTAAATTTTCAACCATTGTTTCCTTTTAGTGTTTGTCCTTAGGTAATCAAAGCAAGGCTAACAATGTCTTTCACAGGCAATTTGAGAGATTGGACAGGGAACAGTGAATATACTAAAAACTGGTAAAAAACTAGAGCAATCTATATTTGAAGCTGAGAAAGGGACTGCCCTGAAAATCACAGGGCAGTCAGTCTATTTTCATACCTGGAAAGTACTAGAACAAATCATCAAAAAAAAAAAATCAATTTGCAAACACCCATAGGATCACAGAATACCAGGTAATAATCAACATTGCTTTGAGAAGAACAGGCCTGTCAGAACATCTAATTTCCTTCTAAAACAGAGTGACAGGCCGGGTAGATCAGAGGGATGAAGCAGATGTAACAGAGCTTGAATTTTACAAAGCTCCTGACTCTCTCTTCCATGCTATGCTCATCAGCAGATGACTTCAGAGCAGATGAACTCTGCAGAGATAGATTTCAAAAAGGCACTACTCGCGTGTTTCTGCGCTGACTTGACAGCTAGGCCCTGGGGAGGAGGGGACTACATGTGAGCTTGGTATAGGAATGAGTGGTTTCTCAGGCCTTTTAGAAGGTTGTTGGCATCAAACAGAGTCCTAGCACATACTACCCGCTCAGTAAAACAATGAACAGAGCAGTGGTGGCTGGGAACATTGTCATAACTCTATAATGAATGGGTGAGCAAAGACCCCACACTGAAGGAGAAACTTGCCCCTCCTTTACGAAGAGCCAGCTCCCCAGGGAGCTGAAACTGTATTAGGTAGAGGCTCCACACTGTCTGACATAGATTTAGTTACAGATGATTTTGAGTGGTTTTATACATATGCAAATATAATGGTACACCATTTACGTGGGATTAGAGAGAAGCTACACAAGCTCAAGCTTTATAAATGCCAAAAGAATGTTATAGGAAACGCTAGCTAAGTCAGAGACGGCCGTACCCTCCATACATCTGGGGACGAAACTTTTAAGAAGTGCTCAGTGATGCAGAGGAAGCAGTGTTTTGAAGGCAGGGCTTGACAGCTGGCTTGCTACTCAGTATGCTACTTGCCTGTGAGATATTTAAACTCTGCTTGGTCGTTCATTCCCCAATATGTACACAGGTTCTCCTAAGTCTTAAAGAGTTGAAATCAGAAGTCAGCGAGAACACACACACACACACACACACACACACACACACCACAAGCATGTGTGTTTATTTAAGTGACCATATACTAACGGGCACATTCGGGAGGTGAAAAATAATAGCAACTCCCTTCCATTCTCGTGTAGGTTAAGTCTACCCAGGAAAGTACCTTGACATAGCGTCAGGGACACACCTACCAAGTCCCTTTCTTATGGCAGTACTTCCCATCACCCAGGGATATCTGTTGTCCATCCCACGTTTCTTATCTCCTATTATGTCTACATTTTAGATACAAGCTTCATTTAGCAATTGGCTAAATGGTTGGGGGGCAGGGTAAAATGTTTGACAATAACCCTCTCTTCTTGCTTGTCTGCAGGACTCCTATGTTTTCCTCATCACACAGGCCACTCTCAGTTCATTTGAAGTGTACACCTGAGCCAAGACTGGACCATCACCACCATAGCACACTTACCGTCCACTGATGGCTGCCTTAGTGCATCTATTTTGCCACAGCAAAGATGCGGTAATTTATAAAGAATCCAGGTTTACTGCTATTGGGGACCTAGGCCTGGGAAATCAAAAGGCATTTGAGGAGAGCCTTCTTCTGTAGTATAACACAGGAGAGGGCATCTCATGGCAAGATAAAGCCAGCTGCTAACCCAAATCTCCTTTTCTCTTATAAAGCCACTGAAACCATTATGGGGATCTTACCCTTATGACTTCAACCAAATCCTAATTACTTTTCTAAGGCAGGCCCTACTTCCAAAGATATTTATATTATTTATTTATTATTGGTGCTGGGGATTGAACCTAAAACCCCACAAATGCTAGGTAAATGTTCTGTCACTGAGATATAGTCTCAACTTCTTTTCACTTTTATTTTTAGACAGGATCTCACTCAATTGTTCAGACTGATCTTGAACTTACTCTCTAGCCCAGATAGGCCTTGAACTTATGACTGGGTCTTCCTGCTTCCATTCTTCAGAGTAGCTGGGATTTAAGGTCTGTGGCAAGAAGTAAGATAAATTGCTAAATGATCTTATAAATAAAAAGCCTGGAGCCAGATATTGGGGTTAAAACCTGAGAGATCGGAGGAATAGGAAAAGCCACAGTCAACCTCACTTTACCAGCCCTCAGTCTTCAAAGAGACCTACTTCCTGTATACCCCTGCCTATATGCCTTTCTGTCCTACAATCTCACTTCCTCTGTCCACCCAGCTATATCACTTCCTGTCTGTCTGTACAGACCTCTAGACCTCCATGGTTAGTGCTGGGATTAAAGGCATATGTCACCATGCCTGGCTCTGTTCCCTAGTGTGGCCTTGAACTCACAGAGATCCAGGTGGATCTCTGCCTCCTGAATGCTAGGATTAAAGGCGTGTGCTACCATTGCCTGACTTCTATGTTTAATATAGTGGCTGGCTTTTTCCTCTGACCTTCAGATAAGCTTTATTGGTGTGCATAATACTTTTGGGGACACAATATGTCACCACAAAGCCTGGTTCTCTAAACATCATTAACATTTGAATCTGGGTTTAAGCATATGATCCAATAACTTTTTGGAGAATGTATTTGACCTAAAGAGTCACTGTCTAATCCAACCTCCCCTCCTTAATGTTTTTATGGAGTTGTTTTCAACTAGAGCTGAAAGAATTTGTGAGTCAGCCTCTCTTTTGCTGATACTGTCCACTAAACCAATATTTCCCACCAGGAGGATTAGCCAATCTGTCTTAATGAAAGAATTCTGAGAGAGCAGTAGATAAGAAAAATGAGATAAATAAGATTAGTCATATTCAAGCCCCATTTCAAGTGTTCCTGAGTCAGAACTTATATCCCTGCACTCTTGTAGTTCAGTTCTTCAAAACTCTATAATGCCAGCCAGTTAATTGTTGTTATTTATAGCTAAATTTCAATTTTTTTAAATCAAATTTTTTTTTTTCTAAAAATCTTTGATGGGTGTGATAACACAAACCTTTAGTCTCAGCATTCCAGATGAAGAGGTAGGAGGAACTCTTATGAGCTCAAAGCCATCCTGCTCTACACAGGGAGTTCCAGGTTATCCAGGGCTGCATAAACCTGACTCAAATAGACCCAATCTCAAAAAGCAGAGAAAACCAAACCAAACAAACAAACAAACAAACAAACAAACAAACAAAAAATCTCCTTTGACTGCATATAATCTCAAATACATCAAGACAAAGAGAAGCCACATTGTTGCATCAAATGTACATTCTTGGGATGGAAACACCCTCCCAGAAGTTGTTCAGAGTTTTACTCATTTTAATTCTCATTCATAGTACTTAGGAATGTCTAGTACTCATTCCTTTTAACAGTAAAAACATTTTCTCCCTGATTTGTAGGTGGAACAATACTTCCTTGAATTTGTGTTTCGTTACGAATTCTGAAAGAAATTCTCACCTCATTCCCCTTTGCATCCTTTGCCCAATTCTCCACTGGCGCATTTTCCAACTGATTTGCAAAATCTGTTTTGTTTTTGGCTTGGTTGCTATGCCCTCCTACAAGAATAAATTAGAGATTGAATTAATAATTATGCCTATTTCTGATTTTTAGAAATGTTCTAAAGTTGTTTTTAGGGAATTCTTCAAAGCTATAATATCCACTAGTTCTTAAATATGTCATTAAATAATTTGATCAGAACACAATCAACTGTTTTTTTCTTTTTTCTTATATGTGCATTGGTGTTTTGCCATGGGTGTCAGGTCCCTTGGAACTGGAGTTACAGACAGTTGTGAGCTGCCATGTGGGTGCTGAGAATTAAACCCGGGTCCTCTGGAAGAACAATCTCTGCTCTTAACCACTGAGCCATCTCTCCAGCCCCCCCGCCCCCCCTTTTCTTTTCAAGAGAGAGTTTCTCTGTGTAGCTGTGGCTGTCCTGGAACTGGCTCTGTAGACCAGGCAGAACACAACTGACATTTTAAAGCTTTTTTTTTTATAACCACTGAAAAACTCCAGATTTCACTTCCTGTCCCACCCTTTTGAGGAAAAGCAGTAGAGTCACTCACTGAGTTGATTCCTTTGTCATGGAGTGAGAGCTCAGGTGACACCTTCCTAGATTTGGCAAATTTATTTCAGGGAAGATTTTCCAGGGACCGCTGAGGAATGGGATTGTTGGTCTGCAATGTTCCTAAAAGATGATGCCCAGTTCTCTTGGGAGCCAATTCTGCATTTGTCTAAATAGGCTATATCTTGCACCAGCCTTGCTGTCTTCACAGGACAGCAATTCAGACAGTAACTGAGTTGAGTCAGTTCTGTGATGACATCTTAACTAAAACTGCCAAGTCCTATCTCTGTACTGCCAATGAGTTCCTTTCTTGGAGGCAGAGAGAATGAGATGGCTTTCTTTAACACAGGTGTGTGTGTCACGCTAAGCCCTGAGTGTGCCCAAACTTGAATCACAGGGGAAAACACCTTTGGGTATCAGAAGAGGGGCTCTCAGGTCTGCAAACAGCTGTGTCCTTAGACCTGATGGCCACCAGTCCTTTGAAAGTGGGGCACCTGCTGTCTCAGTGATATTTTAAAATGGCTACGAACAATTCTCTTAATTGCCATGGTGGTGTCTCCATGAGCTCATGAGCCAAAACCCACAAAAAGTCACAGAGAAGCTTCCTGGGTGTCCCATCTCTTGAATATGATTATTGTATGTAGCAACAATACCAAAAAAACCCAACCATACCAGAACAAAACATACTACTTGTCAAAAGACTAGTACAAAGTTTTAAAAGAAAAGCTACCACAATTTCGAATTTGGACAAAAAAACAAAAAAACACATTTCCTACCTGAAAATTTGATATTTTTGATGTCATGAATTTTTTAATATTTTCATCATTATGAAAGTGTCTTTTAACAATACTACATGCCTAGATATAGGCTTAGTCACATGCTTTGGTTTTTGGTATAGGTCCCTAAACCTCTGAAAGTGAAGATAGTACCTGCTAAAACCCAGACGTCACTTTTTTTGTTTTTTTAAGAAATATTCTAGCAGTCTCGTTGGTCACTGAGACCTGCAAGAGCACACACAGACTAAAGCAGAGATGCTAATCAGTCTTATACAGGCAAACTGCTGTGGATATCGATCTGTATAAATAAAACACTGATGGCCAGTGACCAGACAGGAAGTATAAGGCGGGACAAGGAGACAGGAGAATTGGGGAAACAAGAAGAAGGGGGGAGAGACACTGCAGCCACCACCAGGACAAGCAGCATGTAAAGACGCCAGTAAGCCACAAGCGACGTGGCAAGGTATAGATTTATAAAAATGGGTTAATTTAATATAAAAGAACAGTTAGCAAGAAGTCTGCCACAGCCATACAGTTTATAAGTAATATAAGCGTCTGAGTGATTATTTTATATGTGGATTGTGGATTGTGGGACTGTGGGGTTTGGTGGAATCAGGAGAGAAGCCCTCCAACAACAGCAAACTTCCATTATTTTCTCTTGATCAAGCACTTAACCTCTGTAAATTTGGTACCTCCTCAGCAAAATAGTCTAAAATTGTTGTGGGATATTTGTACAGTGTGTGAAGATGTATTGCTGTGATTGGTGTAATAAAAAGCTGATAGTCCAATAGCTAGGTAGGAGAGTATAGATGGGACTTCTGGGCAGAGGGAGAACTCTGGGAAGAAGAAAGGAGGAATCGCCAGCCAGAGGTGGAGGAAGCAGGAAGGTCAGTACGGAAATGAGGTAACGAGTCACATAAAAGAATGCAGATTAAAAAATATGGGTTAATTTAAGTTATGAGAACTAATTAGGAACAAGTCTAAGCTACGGCCAAGCTTTCATAATTAATAAGTCTCCGACTTATTATTGGTGGGCTGGTGGTCCCAATGAGAAAGTACTGCTACATAAAATCCTTTCTCTTCAATTCCAAATTAAATATTGAAGGGTAACTGGAAGCTTTTCACGGTTGGGGACAAAAGTGACCAGCTCTGGAGCTGTAGGTTTCTATAGTCAGTGCATAGCACCTTGCTTTGCATGAGTACTTGGATGTCCTGTCTGTAGCAGGCATGTGCTTGCCTGCAGAGAGCTGCTGCCTGGGAGGCAATGCCAGATGCTGCATATTGTCTTCCTGTTTCTGTTTTGTTTTGTTTGAGAGAGACAGGGTATCTCATGTAGCACACCCTGGCTTCCAACTCACGGTTAGCTGACATGGGATCAGAACTCCTGAGCTCCCTACCTCAGCCTCCAAGTGCTGATTACAGGTATGTGCCATCTAAAGCACTCTGTACCTCTAAATACTTATGGGTCTAGAGATTTCAAAGCAGTTTGGGACCCTATTTCTTCACTTCACAGGATTAGAACTGAGATTTAAAAGATGGGACTAAAGCATCCTCAGTTGATGGGCACCATGGTAAGTTAGTGCCTCTTACTACTACTGAAAATAGTAACAACAGCACAGGCACACAGCACAAAATCAGATAATTGTTATTTTGACTTTCTGCCAAAGGGACATTTCTAAGGTCTTTTAAAGGAAATTAAAGGCAGAGGACAGTTCAGTATAATTGGACATTTTCCCCCCTACGTTTAAGATTTGGTTCTTCAAGGAGTATATACCAATTATACAGAAAATTTAATGCCATGGAACTTTTCACTTCTGGCAAAGGGTAGATGCCTGAGGTAAAAGATGCAACAAAACACTTACACTTAAAACAGGACTTTAAAAAATTAAAGAACTCTCCAGAAACTGAAGCAATAAATTTGCCTTATCATATTTTCCTCTGCAGGTCTGCGATGGGTTATGAGCTTATATTAGTTTTACTCATTTAATAGGACATAATAAGGTACAATAACAATGTCCTCTGGGAAGGGCTCTAGTAGGCCTGAGCATGGCAAACATGGCTTTGGCAGGTCTTGCCCTCCCCAATTCCCTCTTCCTTGATAAACTGTTAGATTACATTCCTAAAGCTAGCTACCAAGGTCTATTCCCTTATTTGGCCACTGACTTTTCTTGAGACTAAACACCAAGGTTCAGCTATCAAAATTCATTATATGGGTAATATGTCCAATCAGGATTTACCAACTCACTCTCGCATAGACTCCCCTTTTTTCTCCACAAAAGCCTACTCCTAAAAAGAACGCTTGCTTGCTACTGCTTCTGCTTGATGTATGCTTTTGCAGCCCCCACCCATCCTGTTTGCCCCTCTGGGGTAATATTCTCTTTATAAACTGCCATTTGCCTGTGGGCCACATCTGTCTCCTCTCTATTCAGAGGCGGTCCTTTGTCCCTCCAGGGTAAATATCTCTTCTCCATCTCCCTTGCCCCTTTCCTGTTTGTTGGTTCTTTTTACTCTTTGGCTCTTTGGGGGGCCCGCCACTAAGCTCCCAAATAAATCACACAGAGGATTACTCTTTCTTATGAATTCCTGGCCTTAGCTGGGCTTATTTCCAACCAGCTTTTCTTAAATTATCCCATCTATCTTTTGCCTCTGGGCCTTTACCTTCCTATATACCTTTCTTTACTTCTTACTCCATGGCTTGCTGTGTGGCTGGGTGGCTGGCCCCTGGAGTCCTCCTCTCCTCCTTTTCTTACTCCTTGATCTTCTCTTCCCAGATTTCTCCTCCTATTTATTTTCTCTGCCTGCCTACCATGCCTATCCTTTCTCCATTCTAGCTATTGGATGTTCAGCTCTTCATTAGACCAATTAGGTGTTTTAGATAAGCAAAGTAACATAGCTTCACAGAGTTAAACAAATGCAACATAAAAGATTACAACACATCTTTGCATCATTAAACAAATGTTCCACAGCATAAACAAATATTATAAATATTATAAATGAATATCCCACAACACTTTCCTCCTGTGATGGTTTGAAAGAAAATGGCCCCCAAAGGGAGTGGCACTATTAGGAGGCGTGGCCTTGTTGAAGGAAGTATGTCACTGTGGGGGGTGGGCTTTGAGTTCTATGTTCAAGCTACTCTCAGTGTCAAAGTTCACTTCCTGTAGCCTGTATATCAAGATGTAGCCAGCACCGTGTGTGCCTGCATGCTGCCATGCTCCCCACCATGATGATAATGGACTGAACCTTTGAATATGTAAGTCACCCCAATTAAGTGTTTTCTTTATGAGTTGCCATGGTAATGGTGTTTCTTCATAGCAAAAGAAACCCTAAGACACCTCCTCTCTCCCTTGTTACCTATCCCATCTTTGTCCCTCTAGGGCAAATCTCCTTTGTGCTGAGAACTTGGTCTTGGTGTGTCCTGTGCTGACTCTGGTCCTTTCATTGGTCTGGTGACTTGGATCAGTCTACAGGATGGATGGACACACACACACACACTAGTACTCACACATTCCAGACCATCAAGTGACTGCCTTTTTCATTCAACAGCCGCTAATTAATGAGTTTCCCCCTACACCCCTACATCCTACACTTCTAATAAGTACATTTCATTCAGTCTGGTTTGGTTGGGAGATTCCCCTTTCACTTTTAGTGGTTGTACTGCTGGAATCTAGAGCCCCCTCTCTGAAAATCCTGTCAGCAGACCCTGGAT